TAGACAAGTAGACAGTGTCTTTTATTTGAAAGTGTAGACAAGTAGACTGTGTCTTTTATTTGAAAGTGTAGACAAGTAGACAGTGTCTTTTATTTGAAAGTGTAGACAAGTAGACAGTGTCTTTTATTTGAAAGTGTAGACAAGTAGACAGTGTCCTTTATTTGAAAGTGTAGACAAGTAGACTGTGTCTTTTACTTTCACTTTCTAAAGCTCAAGAAGCAGAGCACCAGCTCTGTAAACAAGAGGAAGACATGACGATTGTGGTTCAATAGATCTTGGAGGAAGAAATGACGACTGTGGTTCAATAGATCTTGGGCCTGCCAAGAAAAGAAAACTCTAAAGGGAGCTTTATTTTTTTTACCAGACTTGTTTATTTGTAAGTATTGTTGTGGATTTAAGTTGAATATAAACTGTCAAATTATTTAGATCTAGAATCTAGACTAGGATCTAGATCAAGTCAAGCTACTATTATTATAAGGATTCTACACCTTATGCTGATAATGGTGCAAGCCAACACAAGCAGAAAAAGGTTGAACATTAACTGTCAAGTTTTATAGATCTAGTTGTGGATGTACAGTATCTGTACAAGGGAGAAAGCATGGCTTTGGATTTGGAAATCTATGGATGAACACTAGCAGAAAATAATATGTAGGCCTATGCTAGGTATGGTTTTTTTCTCACTTATTTTCTTGTTAAATTTAGGCCTGAATAGCAAGAAATGGCATACTATACTTAGGATGCCCTGAAACCAAAAATTCTCAAACACAAAGGGGACGCTCTCCCCCTTCAACCCCCTGCCAGGGCTCTGCCCTGGACCCGAAGATCCTGGAAAAATGACCTGAGCTGCTGGGAGCTCTGAGAGAGAGATGGTGCGGAGAGAGTCTAAAGTTGCCGTATGCTAGGCTCTACTCAGCTACACAACTTTTTGGTAAACAATCGAGATGACACAGCGCGTGTGTATGTGAACGAATCGGGTCTTTTTTTACACAGCTCATAATATGCAGGCATTTCAGGCAGTACTTGTGACTTGTCTTTCTACATTACTTGCTCAGTGCCTGTAATTATCTACACAATGTATAGAGGAGGAACCTTAACCTCTATGTCAGAGCGAAGCTGTTCAGTTTGTCCAGCATTCAGGCCAAAGACGCTGTCAGCCGGAACTGTCGAGCGGTACTGAAGCATGCAGGTAAATGTCTCTTGTGTTAGTTCTAGTCAGGTAAATGTCTCTTGTGTTAGTTCTAGTCAGGTAAATGTCTCTTGTGTTAGTTCTAGTCAGGTAAATGTCTCTTGTGTTAGTTCTAGTCAGGTAAATGTCTCTTGTGTTAGTTCTAGTCAGGTAAATGTCTCTTGTGTTGTTAGTTCTAGTCTGGTAAATGTCTCTTGTGTTGTTAGTTCTGGTCAGGTGAATGTCTCTTGTGTTAGTTCTAGTCAGGTAAATGTCTCTTGTGTTGTTAGTTCTAGTCAGGTAAATGTGTCTTGTGTTGTTAGTTCTAGTCAGGTAAATGTCTCTTGTGTTGTTAGTTCTTAGTCAGGTAAATGTCTCTTGTGTCAGTTTCTAGTCAGGTAAATGTCTCTTGTGTTGTTAGTTCTGGTCAGGTAAATGTCTCTTGTGTTAGTTCTAGTCAGGTAAATGTCTCTTGTGTTGTTAGTTCTAGTCTGGTAAATGTCTCTTGTGTTGTTAGTTCTGGTCAGGTGAATGTCTCTTGTGTTAGTTCTAGTCAGGTAAATGTCTCTTGTGTTGTTAGTTCTGGTCAGGTAAATGTCTCTTGTGTTGTTAGTTCTAGTCAGGTAAATGTCTCTTGTGTTGTTAGTTCTAGTCAAGTAAATGTCTCTTGTGTTGTTAGTTCTGGTCAGGTAAATGTCTCTTGTGTTAGTTCTAGTCAGGTAAATGTCTCTTGTGTTAGTTCTAGTCAGGTAAATGTCTCTTGTGTTAGTTCTAGTCAGGTAAATGTCTCTTGTGTTGTTAGTTCTAGTCAGGTAAATGTCTGTTGTGTTAGTTCTAGTCAGGTAAATGTCTCTTGTGTTGTTAGTTCTGGTCAGGTAAATGTCTCTTGTGTTAGTTCTAGTCAGGTAAATGTCTCTTGTGTTGTTAGTTCTAGTCAGGTAAATGTGTCTTGTTTTGTTAGTTCTAGTCAGGTAAATGTCTCTTGTGTTGTTAGTTCTAGTCAGGTAAATGTCTCTTGTGTCAGTTTCTAGTCAGGTAAATGTCTCTTGTGTTGTTAGTTCTGGTCAGGTAAATGTCTCTTGTGTTAGTTCTAGTCAGGTAAATGTCTCTTGTGTTGTTAGTTCTAGTCAGGTAAATGTCTCTTGTGTCAGTTTCTAGTCAGGTAAATGTCTCTTGTGTTGTTAGTTCTGGTCAGGTGAATGTCTCTTGTGTTAGTTCTAGTCAGGTAAATGTCTCTTGTGTTGTTAGTTCTAGTCTGGTAAATGTCTCTTGTGTTGTTAGTTCTGGTCAGGTAAATGTCTCTTGTGTTAGTTCTAGTCAGGTAAATGTCTCTTGTGTTGTTAGTTCTAGTCTGGTAAATGTCTCTTGTGTTGTTAGTTCTGGTCAGGTAAATGTCTCTTGTGTTAGTGTTAGTTCTTTATCAATATCTTCAGTTAACATCTCATAGTTTTATCTTTATTTAACATGTCATAGTTTTATCTGTAGTTTGTATGTCATAGTTTTATCTGTAGTTTGTATGTCATAGTTTTATCTTTAGTCTGTATGTCATAGTTTTATCTGTAGTCTGTATGTCATAGTTTTATCTTTAGTCTGTATGTCATAGTTTTATCTTTAGTCTGTATGTCATAGTTTTATCTGTAGTTTGTATGTCATAGTTTTATCTTTAGTCTGTATGTCATAGTTTTATCTGTAGTTTGTATGTCATAGTTTTATCTTTAGTTTGTATGGTTTTGTTTTTAGTTTATATGTCAATTTTTTACGCTATGGCAGTGCTTTATCTGTAGTTTCTATGTCCTAGTTTTGTCTGTAGTTTCTATGTCCTAGTTTTATATTTAGTTTCTATGTCCTAGTTTTGTCTGTAGTTTCTATGTCCTAGTTTCACCTGTAGTTTCTATGTCCTAGTTTTGTCTGTAGTTTCTATGTCCTTTCACCTGTAGTTTCTATGTCCTAGTTTTGTCTGTAGTTTCTATGTCCTACTTTTGTCTGTAGTTTCTATGTCCTAGTTTCACCTGTAGTTTCCATTGCCAATCCTTCCATGGAGTGGTCACCGGTAAATAGCCCAGACAAGAATCCTACAGGTATATGGAGCCTCACGAAACAGCAGCTGGAGAAAAGCGACTTTGCTCCCATTTCAAACCGTTTGTTCCCAACTCTCTGTGATGTTTGGGATGAAAAGACTGATAATTATGTCCAGAATTGAACATAGCCCATGCCCAAAGGGATCGAGATCTTCACAAAACCAATATCTCCGACACACTGTACCAATGAGTACATGTAATGTCTCCTGTTATATCTGTAATATCTCCTGTAATATCTGTAATATCTCCTGTAATATCTGTAATATCTCCTGTAATATCTGTAATTTCTCCTGTAATATCTCCTGTAATATCTGTAATATCTCCTGTAATATCTGTAATATCTCCTGTAATATCTGTAATATCTCCTGTAATATATCCTACACACTGTACCAATGACTGAGTACATGTAATATCTCTTGTAATATCTCCTGTAATACCTCCTGTAACATCTCCTGTAATATCTGTAATATCTCCTGTAATATCTCCTGTAATACCTCCTGTAATACCTCCTGTAATATCTCCTGTAATATCTGTAATATCTCCTGTAATATCTGTAATATCTCCTGTAATATCTCCCGTAATATCTGTAATATCTCCTGTAATATCTCCTGTAATATCTCCTGTAACATCTCCTGTAATATCTCCTGTAATATCTCCTGTAATATCTCCTGTAATATCTCCTGTAATACCTCCTGTAATATCTCCAGTAATATCTCCTGTAACATCTCCTGTAATCTCCTACACACTGTACCAATGACTGAGTACATGTATAGTCAAGTCCAAGTTTGGCCTGCTGTAGGTGACTGCTCTGTTTCCAACTATCGTAATAAAAAAGAACACATGTATCGCTTATTGCCCACCCAAAAATCTCCGTTCATTGGATATGTGACACACGTCCATCCCCCAACGTTACAGCTCTCTCTCTCTCTCTAAGCACAAACACAATTCTACTGGACATTCCTTGGGTTTCACAGAATGTTGCCCAGCATGATTCCTCAATCAGTCCCCACATTCAATGAGTCCCCACATTCAAGGAGTCCCCACATTCAACGAGTCCCCACATTCATTCAACGAGTCCCCACATTCCACGAGTCCCCACATTCTGATGACTTTTGCTGTCAGGGGAAGGAAATGTGTTCACTTCCGGTTTGTTTTTGTCTGTTCCAGAGTCTCGGAGAACTTGCAAGTCCGTCCTGTCTGTGGTCAAGATGACGTCACTTCCTGCCTGGGAACAACACCTTCACCAGCAGTTGGACAGACAGGGGAGGGAGGGGAGGGAGAAGAGGGACAGTTCTCCCAGCACTGAATGCGAAACTGACCAGGAAACTCCGCCCCCACAGAAGAAGTTGAAGGTCTGAATGTTTTGTGTGTGTGTGTGTGTGTGTGTGTGAATATTGTGATGTGTGTGTGTGTGTGTGTGTGTGTGTGTGTGAATGTTTTGTGCGTGTGTGTGTGTGTGAATGTTGTGATGTGTGTGTGTGTGTGAATGTTGTGATGTGTGTGTGTGTGTGTGAATGTTGTGATGTGTGTGTGTGTGTGTGTGTGTGTGAATGTTTTGAT